TTGCTTCTAGTGTTTCGCAGCTGCTCTGATTCTGCAGCCTTCACCCAAATGTTAAGTAAATCCATTGTAAATTTCCCACCTCCTGACGCTTTTTAAAATGCCCTGTCAAATGCCTTCATACCTCCTCTTTTCACCGTGGATAATGAGAAACATTTACAAAATTTGCTTTCTTACATTTGAGCTTATTCTACAATGTCTTTTGGACACGATGTCTTTTAGACAGAAAGGACTGTTCCTGAAAAACCCAAATCCCCAAAGACCATTATTTCTTCTAAAAAACAAACGTTTCTGAGTATGTAATTGCATTGTGACATTCACCTCTCAAATCCACGTGTGCGCAGCATGGCCGAGATAATTCTTGAAATACAAGGTACACCAAGGGAGAGCTTTGCTTTACCTGCTCTGTGTCTTGAGACTGATAAAGGATGTTTCTTTTAAAGAAGAATGAAAAGAGACAGTTTCCTAATCAGGTAATTCAGAGAGCAAAACAGACGGGCTCCTCCGTGGTTCGTGGTTCAGACCCTGACAGTTGAGACAGCAGAGACGAGGAAGTCAGCAAGCTGGGCGCCAGAGGCAGGAGAGGCTGTGACCCTCAGGGCTGACTTTGGGCTTGGCTCACTGTCCATCAGCACTGCCTGCAAGGGCGGGGTTGGGGTGTAGGGGGAGGGAGCAGACGTGCCAGCGGCCATGGCCCCCGGAGCTGGTCTGGGAGGAGTGTGGTGGCAGAGTCCGTTGGGGAGGGCCAGCTGCAGAAGCTGGGGAGCTGGGGGAGCTTGGTGCTCTGCAAGGCCCCACCCCGTCCTCCTCCCCCTCTTCTCTTTAACTCTGCCTTTCTTTTTTTTTTTTTTTTTTTTCCTGATCAAGGCTCGTTTATTGAATAAATCCAGTAGTATTTAAACGTGACCAGTTGTTTACAAGAAGGAGCACAAAAGATTTACATATCAAAAAGGCTCTTAAGGTTACAAAGAGTTCCCAATAAGGTTCTTAATTATTGATTACAAGGGTACAATAAAACACTTAGGTGATAAATGCAGGTTTCAGGTGTGACTGATTATCTGTATCATCTCTTGTGAAAGGTTTAGGTTCTTCCTGCCTCTTCCCGGAATCTCCCTAGCCCAATTGTCTGTGCCCGGAAGTCTCCATTCATATGTTTAAGTGTAAACAAAGGGAGTGACTACCTGTGGCTGCCCACATTTCCCCCTTTTTTATTTTTTGAGGCACTGTTCCTGTCCTAGGTTGCCCGTGTCTCTTCTTGTCCTTACCCGTCATTGGACACCCCAGACATTCTCTGAGGCTCCTGTCTTAGGTTGGTACAAGGAGACCGAGTCTTACCCGTCATTGGAATTCAATGCCATCCTTTTTGGCTCGGGGGTGAAGCTGTGAATGCAACTTTAAAATCTCAGACCAAACGGTACCAAATGGCACAGAGAGGCCTTGGAATATACAGGGGAGGCACTGACAGAAAGGCAGGAGCAGCAATAAAGGACCCAGCAACATCAAAAGCCAGTGGGTCCATTGAGATCCACCAAAAGAAAAGACATTAGTTAGAAACATGTGCTGAAGTTCACCTTGTAGCTGCTGTACCAGATATTTTATGTAAGGAACATTATTTGAGATATTAAAGCAGCAACTTCCAGGAATCAAGTCACAGCTTATACGATCTTTCAGTAGTAAGTAGTTAATGGCAGCTAAATGTAGCCAGAAATTGCTACTTTCTACAGAGAAGGAGGAATTGACCATAAGAGTTACTTTAACAGTTTTGACCAATACGTCAACCAGGCTTCTTTTCTAGAATTGACAAAGGTATACTGGTCAATGTGACCAGTTTTGATATGCTAAAATCAGTATTCTCCCTTTTCGATTGATCAGTCACATTAAGCCATTGGTTTTCAACTATAACCCTCCCAGTAAGGAACAAGGTTTGATTGTTCCTTACCCATTGCACAAATTCTGCTGTTTTAATTCCATTATCATAAGTGCATGAACAATTTTGAACTACTGGTGCGCACCAACAGAGGTGGTAACATAGGTTTGGCTTGATGTGAGCCAGCAAGCTTCATTCATCTTCAGGGGGATTCCGATCAGCAATGTTATCATAATGAAGATCGAGGGGTTGCTTCGAGACATTGTTTGCCGCAAAAGTCGCTCAGGTAACCATCGTACTTCATTGTCTTTTTGCGAGAGTATAGAAACATGTCCACATCCCGATATTAAAACAGGGTCAGGTCCATACCATTGAGCAGTTAGAGGGTCTTTCCACTTCACGTAGACTTGTTGTCTTTCGGTTTCAGGATGCCTGTGACGATCAGCTGCAGATTTCCCTTGATTATCCAGTATTAAAAAAATTTAAAATGAAAAGAGCATGTGATAGCCATTTTTGTGGGGAATATGCCATGGTCCTGTATTCCCCCTTTTTTATTTTTTATAAATAATTTTTAATGTGGCATGTGCTCATTCCACAATACCTTGTCCCTGGGGATTATAAGGAATCCCGGTGATGAGAGATGTGGAAGTTAGTACAGAAGTGCTTAAAAGAGTTGGAAGTATACGCTGGGCCATTATCAGTTTTTATCTGTATAGGGGTTCCTAGAACAGCAAAGGCCTGAAGGCAATGAGAGATGTTTGGCAGCCTCGCCGGACTGCGGGGTGGCAAAAACAAAACCTGAACATGTATCTAAAGAGACATGTATGTATTTTAGTTTACCAAATTCAGGGAAATGGGTGACATCCATCTGCCAAAGCTAATTAGGCATAAAACCTCTAGGATTTACACCATAATGAGGGACCGGGAGAAACGTGACACAGGAAGGGCAGGATTTTACAATTTGCCTTGCCTGTTCCCGGGTGATTCTCTATCTTACTGGTAAGGTCTGGGCATTGAGGTGATGCAAATCATGACCACGGGACGCTTTTTAGACTTTGTCAGTCCCTCTTTAAAGGATCTGGCTAACTCTGCCTTTCAAATAAATAAAAACTAATTTGGGGCCGGTGCCGTGGCTCACTTGGTTAATCCTCTGCCTGCAGTGCCGGCATCCCATTTGGGCGCCGGATTCTGTCCTGGTTGCCCCTCTTCCAGGACAGCTCTCTGCTGTGGCCCGGGAGTACAGTGGAGGATGGCCCAAGTGCTTGGGCCCTGCACCCCATGGGAGACCAGGAGGAAGCACCTGGCTCCTGGCTTCGGATTGGTGCAGCGCCGGCCATAGTGGCCATTTGGGGGGTGAACCAACGGAAGGAAGATCTTTCTCTCTCTTTCTCTCACTGTATAAAACTCTACCTGTCAAATAAATAAATAAAAATAATTTTAAAAAGTAATGTATATAACTCAGTGGGATTTTTCCAAAATATTGCAAGGAGAAGCTTGGTGGTTTTTAAAATTGATTTGAGAGAGAGAGAGTGAGCTTCCATCTGCTCATTCACTCCCCCAGATGCCCACAACAGCTGGGAAAGCATTGATGCTGAAGCCAGGAGCCAGGAACTTGATCCTGGTCTCCCATGTGGGTGGCAGAAACCCAAAGACTTGAGCCCTCACTGCTGCCTCCTAGGGTCAGCATTAGAGGAAGCTGGAGTCAGGAGCCAGAAGCCAGTATCAAAGCCAAGTACTCAAATGTGGGGTACAGGCATGCCATCCAGTGTCTGAACTGCTAGCCTGCCTGATTCAATGGTTTCTTAGTGTGTGGATGGCTCCCGACTCACAGTGGTTCACGTTTACGTTGCACAACCACCTCTCATGGCAGTCGTAACCGTGAACAGCTGATGCTCCGCAGGGCACCGTGTTGCCTGGCAGGATGTTTGGCGAGTTAGGTGTGTTCAATGCATTTCAGACTTGGGGTATTTTTGACTTAGGATCACCCCTTCATAAGGCGAGGCGCATCTGTAGTCACAAAGTTCTACAACCCTGACCCCAGAATATGTCCATCGCCCTGAAAGGAAGCCCCGTTCCCACCCGCAGTCTCCCTGCTGTCCCCTCCCTCCGGCCCCTGGCAGCCACCAACCTACTTTTTTATTTATCATTATTTACTTTCATTTTAATTTTAAAATTATTATTTAACAACATTGTATGGTAATAATTCAACCAAATTAAACCTGCAGCCTCCAATCTACTTTTGACTTCTGTAATGGTCTTTGAGCCTGAGCTCTCCCCTGGACCACAGAACCAGTTCTGGCCTTGTGATGCGAGGACCAGAGGAATCCTGTGAATAAACAGTGTTGTGTCTGCAGAATCCCAGGGCCAGCCACTGGGCGAGGGCCCTGGGCAGAGCCCCTTCCCCTCATCCTGTGCTTTAGGGGTCCCTACTGCTTCTCCTGCATGGGACCCAGAACTTGGTGAGGGTCTCTGCCATCAAGGGTCTCAGAGGGGAGAGCAGAGCACCAGTGCTGGGGAGGGGCCACAGACTGGGGCTTTGCCGTGTTGGCACTGGAGCCCTCCATGCACACGTTTCCAAGTTCCTACAGGACCGAAGGGAGAAGATGGTGCCTCCCCCATCGTGTGAAGTCTCTTCAGGACTGAACGTGTCTTATTTCCTCCCTAGCTGTCTCTTTGCACTTGCTTACAAAATACAACATGGTGAGAACTTGACATTGAGCACTTGCGTGGCCCCGGAAGGGCTCTGTGCACCTGTTACACTTAAGCTGTACAGTGGATGCATTGCCTGACTCTTCCCTTGCAGTCTTGTGAGGGGGCTGTGCTGAGCCTCTCAGGGTCTCTGTGGTGCCCTGGGAGTGTGGGGTGCAATCTGCCAGCCCCAGCACCCCTGGGTGCCCTGAGCCTGCCTTTCAGAGCCACCCCCACATCACTCACACACGGGGGCCTCTGAGGAGTCCCAGACCTGTGCGTTGAAATCGCCATGTACTCGGGGCTGGTGCTCACCTGGGCCAGTTTGTCCCCAGCCTTTGTTCGCAGGGTCACACAGGCAGGGGGACCTGCATGGAGAGCTGAGGCACCTGGCCTGGTGGCCCTGTCCCCTGGACAAGACTCTTCCAGCAACGTCTTGTCCCCACAGGAAAGTACCTGGCCATACCTGTTTGGCATGATCATGGTGCCTGCCTTCACCCAGCTGTTGACCCTGCCGTGCCTCCCCGAGAGCCCGCGCTACCTGCTGTTTGAGAAGCATGACGAGGAGGGAGCTGTGAAAGGTAGGGGTCCTATCTTCTTGTCACGTGTGGGTCAGCCCTGCAGGTGCACCAGGACCTGGGCGGATGGGCATGGGAGGGACCGCATCGTGATGTCACTCTGCAAGCACTCGGACCCTGGCTGAGCACCCAAGGACGGCTTCTCACTTTGCCTCCCAACAGCCCTGTGCCACTTCTGTGGCTGCTCCCAACCCCCGAGAGGAAGCAGACAGATTTCCTAGTGACTCAGAGGTTTATGGGGGCGGGGGGGACCCTCCTCTCCTGCCTCCACATTCTTACTCGAGGGCACAGTGCAGAATGAGCACCACTGTCTCAGCCAGGGCCCAGCCGTGGGCAGATGTGGGCCCATTTTACAGGAGACAAAGTGAGGCTTGCAATGGGCCTTCAGGCAGATACAGCTTCAGAATCAGGCGCTTCTCCTAGAGCCCCCAAAAGGCAAAATCATTCTGCCTGGAGACAGACACGGTGGGCTTAACATTGCGCTTTGTTCCCCTTGTAAAATGGCCCCCAGCAGGTGGCGCCAGGTTCGGCACCCGGGCTAGCGGCTACCCTTACTGCCGCCACCCCATGAGCAATTCTCTTATGCCCCCTGAGCCCGGGGGGCCTGGAGAGAAGAGGGGACAGTCGGGAGCTTCCCCCAGGCTGTGGTGGGTGGAATTAGATGGTTTGTGTTGCTGTCCGCTCTCATCACTGCTTGGGACTCTGCACAGCCTTTCATGCGTGAGATTGACCTGCCAGAGTGCCCACATGGAGGTGTGTGTGTGTGTGTGTATGTGCGCACGCGCGCACGCAGCATCTTTGAGAACTCAAGCCGTGCAAGCATTTTGCAGATTCCAAATGACACAGAATATCCATCACCGCCTGGTTTGTCTAGCCATTCACAGCTGAGATCCAGTTTCTGGTTTCTGTGACGGGAAACCAGGGGGCACTGTCCTCAGCTTTGCTTGGCCTGAGAGGAGCCTAAGCTTTCAGAGAAAGTCCCCAGCCCAGGCTGTCTGTGTGCAGTGGTCCCTCCTTCCCTGGACTCCTTTCCCATCCCCCCACCCTCCTACATAGCGGCCAAGGGTGAAGTGCCTGGCCTGGCTCTTTTTATTTCTCTACGCCAGCTCGGTGGCTCAAAGTGGGACAGAGAGCCCGAACTTCTGCCTCAAGAAAGGAAGGCGGAGACGAGCTTCTACCCTAAGGGGACTCGACGGGCACTGCTTCGTGACTGGGGTCCCTTGATTAGGACCCTTTGCCATGCAAGAGGCAGAAACCCTACTCGAGGCAGTGGAAGCGGAGCAAGGGGAATTGCACTCCCACTCTGTCTGCCTGAGCTTCCAGCCAGCTGAGGGCTGGGTGTGGGAACAGAGCAGTGGGGATAAGAATGTCCCTGGGCCAGCAATGCGGCTCAATAGGCTACTCCTCCGCCTGTGGCGCTGGCACACCGGGTTCTAGTCCCGGTCGGGGCGCCGGATTCTGTCCCGGTTGCCCCTCTTCCCATCCAGCTCTCTGCTGTGGCCCAGGAGTGCAGTGGAGGATGGCCCAAGTGCTTGGGCCCTGCACCCACATGGGAGACTGGGAGAAGCACCTTGTTCCTGGCTTCGGATCAGCACAGTGCGCTGGCCGCAGCAGCCATTGGAGGGTGAACCAATGGTAAAGGAAGACCTTTCTCTCTGTCTCTCTCACTGTCACTCTGCCTGTCAAAATATAAAAAAATAAAAAAAAAGAATGTCCCTGGCCATGAGGATGAAGATGGCGCCCTGGACAGGTGCATTGGGTCTTGTGATCAGAGGTTGTCCCAGGAGCACCCTGAACTTGACCATGCTGCCTCCCCAAGGTCGGCCTCTACAGGGCCGGCCCCTGGAAGATTTAGGACACTGCAGGACAGAGAGAGCCTGATCTCTCCGACCACATAGATCCCAAGAAGGCAGGCAGGCAGCAAACAGGTGTGTTTCCTTCAGGTGTGGCGGGATCCAGCATCCAACCCTCAGCTGCTAAGCTGCTGCCTCTGCACACATCTAGACGTTTTGAGGATGTTGCAGGCTTCTTTCTTAGACAGGCTGTGCGCCCCCCAACCCCCCGGCACCGAGACCGCGCTGAGCAGCTCTCGTGAGACAACCCCATCCCAGAAGAGGGAGGTTCCCCTTCACCTAGCACAGGTTTCAGTCCCTGGAGAGCTCTGGTGTATATCACGATTCAGCCCACCCACCTTACGATGGAAAGCCCAAAATGCAGTGTCTTACACAAAATAGAACGTGCGTTCACTCTCGCTTTCACGACTGATCAAGGCAGGCTGTGTAGGGCTGCTGGGTTCTCCATTGTGTCAGAGCCTAGCTCCGTCCATGTCTTGCTCTGCCATCCTTAGAAGGTTGCCTTGTGGTCCAAAGTGGCTGCCATCACATCAGCGTTCCAGCCAAGAGGAGGAGGAGTGTCTGTGGCCAGTGCCTGTCCTGTCTGCTGCAGAGCTGGGCCCGTGTGACCCTGTGGAAGCTCAGCAGGGCAGGAGCAGGAAGGCCAGCTCTCCTTGCCAGTTCATCCCTCTCTGCCTCAGTTTCCCCAGCTGTTAAGTGGCCATCAGTGCTGACCTGGGTGGGTGGGTGGGGTCAAATGAGGACGTTGTAGCCTCTGTGTGTCCAGCACCCCTGGCCTCAGCCGTAGCGCCCTCCCTGGAGCAGACACTGGACCTCGTCCTTCCTGTAACAACCCAGTGGATGTTTGCAGTCTGCACCCTGCACACAGATGCTCGCTGAAGCTCCAGATTAATGGAAACGATGGAATTTGATTCTATCAGCCTCTCAGCTCTGTGGTTTCTTTTCATCATTCTTTGGAGTTGCATGGAGAGAAACATCACCGATTTCTGCCTGGGTGGTCCTCGGCACGTCTCCTAACCTCCCTGAAGCCCACCAGAGCCAATCACCCTGGTCCTAAGAGCCAGCAGGGGGCCTGGCACATGGGCGGTCACAGGGTCAGATGAGCCTGAGGCAGGGGGATCTTCATGGTGGCGTTCTTTGTGAAAAGAGGAGCTTGCTCACTCGCTTCTGCAAGCCAGGGAGCGTCCCTCGCCAGGGAGCTGGACCCACTGACCTCTGAGCCTGCAGCTTCCGGGGCTGTGAGAACTGCATGGCTGTGCCCTGAGCCCCCCAAGTCTCACTCAATCTGTCCCCAAGGGCCAAAACCGAATGTTGGGAGTAGGGTCGGAGCCCCCACCAGGATTAGAAAATCCCAGCTCCTCCTGGCAGTGAAGTGGCTTCCCCGGGGTCCCCATCACACCCTACCTTGGCCTGCTCTGACTTCAGCTCAGCTGTTAGCAAATGGATCCTCCCTCCAGGGCACCGGGGGTCTCTCCAAACCCTGGCTGTGTGTCCTCTGTGGCCACGTGTCTCCCAGTCCACGTGTGTGTTGGGGAGGGGGCAGGAACTGGTGGGTACCTGCCCCTGACTCCCGCCCCTGGTGGACAATCCTGGGGGACAGTGCACCGGGAGCGCTCAGCAGCCCAGGGGCGCCGCCCACCCCACCCACAGAAGGCTCCGAGGCGATGGCTCCATGTGACGTGCCGCATGGCTCGTCCCGCCCTCCCACCCGCAGATGCCCCATACCCAGTCCTTGTCTGGTGCTGTACTTTTAGGGCTGCAGCGCCTGCACCTGCTCACCTGCAGAAGGGATGCCCTGACCGCGTGAGCCCCAGGGACTCACGGAGCCTGCAGAGAACAGACTCTGGCCCGTGTCAGCCAAGACTTGGTAAAGACTGGCTTCATCATGGCCATGGCTCAGAAGTGCACCTGCCAGCCCAGGGAGCTTCAGGCAGAAGAAGGCAACAAAGTTGGTTGACCCAAACACGTGGCATGGGGCCTGTGCCCCAGCACCGCGAGTGTAGCCAGGAAATTGTCCCTTCCCTAGTGTCAGTCATTGTTCTGGCCAGTTAATCAGAAGGTGTCTTCTTACATCGTAGCAAGAATAATTTAGCCGAAGTCTGCATTTGGAATATTTTAAATCAGGAATATTTTATACTGTTGGCAAGGGTTTGTTTTTTTTTTCTTTTTATCGTTTTTAATATGCAGATATGAGAGTTTTACTGGTGACCTGTGTATGCGATTTTGGGTACCAAACCCCATGGCTATAGAAACATTTCCAAAGCCTCTTTTTATAGAAGTTTCTGGCTACTGTGCCGGTGCCGCGGCTCACTAGGCTAATCCTCCACCTTGCAGCGCCAGCACACCGGGTTCTAGTCCCGGTCGGGGCCCCAGATTCTGTCCCGGTTGCCCCTCTTCCAGGCCAGCTCTCTGCTATGACCCGGGAGTGCAGTGGAGGATGGCCCAAGTGCTTGGGCCCTGCACCCGCATGGGAGACCAGGAAAAGCACCTGGCTCCTGCCATCGGATCAGCGCGGTGCGCCGGCCGCAGCACACCGGCCATGTCGGCCATTGGAGGGTGAACCAATGGCAAAAGGAAGCACCTTTCTCTCTGTCTCTCTCTCTCACTGTCCACTCTGCCTGTCAAAAAAAAAAAAAAAAAAAAAAGATGCTACTGTAAGCTTGAAGAGGCGGGTGCATTGTGTCTTCAGTCTGAATGTCTCTGGGAGGCAGCGTGCTCTCCGTGGAGGCTGGGGCTAGCACCAAGTGAGCCACCCATAAGCCACCCAGTGCATTTGTCAGGGTGGGCTCAATGAAAACCAAACTCCAGTCCCAAAAGCACCAACCAGCGAATGGCACAAGTGAACCACAGTGTGGCACTCCACACGGAAGGCAGAGAAAGACCCAGAGCCCCTGCCCCAGCTCCTCCGCGTGGCACAGTCCCACCGCCTCCCCCAGGCTCTGTCCTCAGTGAACTGTAGAGAACCAGCAACAGGACCGCCAGCTCCCACCCCCTCCCCCAGGCTCTGTCCTCAGTGAACTGTTAGAGAACCAGCAACAGGACCGCCAGCATCTGCTCCCCACCCCTCTCCCAAGGGCCCACGTTGGAGCCTGCTGCTGAGGGCTGCAAGACGTGCAAACTGACTCAAAAGCCCAGTGACCTCCTTCCACCACATCCTAGTAGTGGCTGCACATCAGTGCTTTGACGCCACCTCCCATCTGTAGACGAGGCCGTGAGACCTGGGCAGCTGCTGCCAGCTGCGCGCCGGGCCCTCCTGAGAGGAGAAGCCCAGCTGGCTCCATGTTGGCTGTAACAAAACGTCACAGAAGGGGGCTCAGACGACAGGTTTGTTGGCTCTCGGTTCTCAGCCCACGAGGTCACCAGGGCAGAGGTGGGGAAACCCTGCTTCGAGGGAGGTTCCGGGCTTGCCGGCTGCGCCAGTTCAGCTCTGATCAACAATCACTGACGTGGCTCCTGATCCCTGCAGGGCTCTGCATGTGTTCCCGGCCAGTGATGAGACGTCCAGTGACAGTGCTGGGGGAGAGGCTCAAAGGGCAGGCCGGGGGGGTGGGGGTGGGCGGGAGAGTGTCCCAGCCCAGGGAGCTGCGTGGCCGAGTGCACAGGGCCCAGAAAGCAAGATGGGGGTACGAGACGAGTGGAAACCAGCTGGCTTTTATGAACGCATGGATAGCAGGAATGTGAAGTTGATGCTTCAAGGCGAAAGTCAAGTGTTTAGAGGAAGTACAGATGTTTGTTCCAGGAAACTTCCCTGCGGGCTGAGCAGTGAACTTGGCAGAGAGCTTCCTGGAAGGCAAGGTGAAGAAGGAAAAAATAGACAAGGAGCTTCTTATTTTGTAATGAAAGCTATGTGTGTCAGAGAAGAGAGGAAAATATTCTCCCAAAGCCTTAGAATTGTGTTAGCACAGGGATTTGCTTTTGGAACTTTGAGGAAATGTCAGCAATATGAGTTCATGGGAAAACACAGTTAATTAGAGAAGTTTATTGTGGTGCAAACATTTTGGAAATCTGCGCAGCTTCTTCCTGGTACACGTTTGTCATGAACGGGAAGGAGTCCTCGTACATGGTTTAGTTCATGACTCAGAAACATACTCGATTGGGTGCTTTTCTAATGAATGCTGGGGGAAGCATGGCTCAGGAAAGACTTTGGGAAGCCGTTTTCAGCGCAAGGTGGAAAAACACCCAGAAGCCCACCTGGAGAATCTGGAGTGAGCTTCACAGTGGTTTTGGGGTGTGTGTGAGAGAGATCAGGAGAGTGATTTTGCATGACCCGTGGCTTGAGTGCTGCTCCAAGGCCACCACCCTCGGTGACTGGGAGGGACCGTGCACGGGAGCCACCGTGGAAGCCGCCAGGGGAGCCGCCTCTCCCCGCAGGGCAGACTAGCAGACTAGACTATGAGCACACATCCCAGAAGCACCCCCTCAATCCCATGATGATGCCCTCGGGGGCTCATCGGCCAGCCCACCTGCCAGTGTCCAAAGGGCTGGTAAAATCCCAGAGGCTCTGTGAAACCAGAGTGTGCAGTCTGCTGGGGTAGGATGCATGTGGTCAGGGTGAGGGAATCAGGGAGGCCGCTCCTGGAGACAGTTTCCTCCCCTGGTGTCCATATTCCACGGGGCTGCGTGGACACAGGCTTGAGGATCATGCGACTCATGCTCCTGGAAGTGATGTGGTCAGCTCTGGAGTCTGCAGCCAGGTGGCCGTGAGCCCCGGCTCTGGACACACCCCCCACCCGCAGTGAGAGCGAGCATGTGGGCACAGGCAGCCAGGAGGCGCTCAAAGACTTTCATCCTTGGCTGGCTGGGAGGCTCTGAGCCAGGGCACAGCGGGAGCAACCTCATGTGGTTCCTCCCGCGGCCGTGGGAGCAGGCGTCATCACCGGATATGAACCAGGGCATTCCCACCCCACAGTGGGGACGGATTTGAACCCTGGGCAGTTCTGCCTTGCCAAGCGGCAATGCAGAGATGCAGGTTCCCTCCCAGCCAGCTGGGTGACCCCAGGCAAAGCCCTGCCTCTCTCTGCCTGTGGACTCTGGGGTTCCCAAGGCCCCCGCAGCCCTGTCCCTGACAAGGGTGTTTCTGGGTGGTGGGTCCATCCCCGTGAGGATATCCTGACCCCCTACTGAGAGCCCTGCTTTGTCTACTTGTAGCCTTCCAGACGCTCCTGGGCCGAGAAGACGTCTCACAGGAGGTGGAGGAGGCCCTGGCCGAGAGCCGCGTGCACAGGAACACCCGCCTGGTGTCCGTCCTGGAGTTGCTCAGGTGTCCCTTTGCCCGCTGGCAGGTGGTCACTGTGGTCATCACCATGGCCTGCTACCAGCTCTGTGGCCTCAATGCGGTAAGCACCGGGCCCTGCCGGGCATCCTGCACCTACAGGGAGACCCCCAGTGGCTAGGGGGCAGCTGGGGCTGGATGGTTAAGGGCTTGAACCCTGGATGCCCACGTTCAAATCCCAGCCCTGCCAACCACCATGGATGCTGTGCCATTGAGCAACCACGGAGCCACCTGGCCCTGGGCTTCCCCACCTGGAGGATGGGATAACATGGTGTTGAAAGAGGGACTCCACGGGGAAGGGCCAGTTCAGCAGCCGGCACAGAACTGCCCCATGCCAAATGCTGCCTGTCGCTCTAAGTACTGACCCCCAGGGATACCTGCAAGTCACACTCCCCCAGCAAATGCATAATGGGGAGGTTCTAAGGGAGAGATACTGGGATGATTTGATGGAAGTGCCCTCCCCCAAGCTGGCTCGGGGCCGAGGCTGGGGCTGGAGCTGCATGGACAGGGGAGTCTGAGGAGGCACAGAGGTCCCCACCCCAGGGTGGACTCGGCCAGCTCTTCTCACCTGGAATTCAGAGTGAGGGAGGCAGAGTCTGGGTTGTTATTGTTATCCTGTCTTCTGCAGAATGGAACAGGCTGCCTGGGGGTCGGGGAGGGGCTCCCTGAGCGGGGGGTGCAGGCAGGCTGGCTGCCCGCTAGGCAGGGGTGCATGCAGGGGGGTCCGGCTCTGAGCCTGAAGCTCCCTCTGAGAGTAACTCCCGGCCAGCAGTGGAGAAAGTTGCAAGCACAACCTGCAGCCTCCTGATTGTGTTTTCGGAGGCAGTGGGATGAAGGTCCAGCCTGCTGCTTCCCTGCCCTTGCCTTCTCGGTCAGGTCAGAGGGTCAGCAGCTCCACCTGAATGTGCAGAGCAACCCCGGGCAAGTCCCACCATCTCCTCCCTGCTGTCAAGGTCATAGCATTTGGCCCCAAGGTCATCCCTCTCATCCTGAGACTGCAGAGAGGGAGAATGCCGGCGCACGGGACTCTCACCAACACGCCTGGGATGGGTATCTCCTGGGGCATTGAGACGGAGACCGCGGTGTTTCTAAGCGGAATTGCCCACCAGAACGCGATCTTTGCATTGGCACAGGCTATGGAACTCTGGAAACCCCGCAATGCTGTGTCTGCAAGCTCCCTGCACGTGCGCCCAATGGGAGAGACCCTCATTTCCGCTCCCAGCACCAGCTTCCGCTGTCTTGCCTTCCCCAGGAGGAGTCCCTTCTCTCTTGAGGTCGGGATGAAGGCTTCCAACCCGGCTTGCTGTCCCCGACACCCAGCACGGAGCTCTGGGCCAGGAGTCAGTGGCCCCCGTTTCCCAGCTCAGAGCGACCACCAACCTGCAGTGAGAGACCTGGCCCCACTGCGTCCCCCTTGCTTGGCTCAGTCTGCTCAGCTGTGGTGATGCTCTAGCCCACAGGTATTTGGCACAGCGTGGCCAGGAGCTGTCCCCAGGGCAGCCCTGTGAGCTAGCTCCCACTGGTAGGCACAGAGATGTTGGAACACTTTTGCAAGGTCACACATCTGGAGCGGTAGAAAGGAGACCTGAGGACTACAGCTTGAGTCTGTTTAAACACAAAGGGACACAAGCTGGTTAGTGGCAAATGCCAGCCTTGCATTTGCCATGCCTGTGCTTCAGGCTAAGTTCTCCCTGGCACATGCAGCCTTTTAATCCAAACCCGTGACCTCATGTGACCCGGAAACTCCCGGTGCCTTTAAAGCCTGCTTTGTCCCCCAAGCCTTACTGGGCATTCTTTTGGAGGACGTGATTTCTCCTTTGAGACATTTGTAAAGGCAGCCGGGCACCTCCCGCTCCAGACAGCCCTGCCACGTGCAGGCGCCATCATCATTTTCTAGAGGAAGTAGCCGTGGCTTACAAGTCAGGCATGCTGCAGGTCCCTACAGTGGCACCTGCCCCGACAGCCACCCGCTCCTGGGGTCAGGTGCACTGCCCTGGACAGCCCGCCCCAGGACCGGCCAGTCTGTCTCAAGTCCCAGGAGCCTTGGTCTAAGCCGGTGCCTCCCAGCTCATCACATCTTGGAGCCGTCAGCAGTGATAACTGGAAATGTCTCCAGGTACCTCCCGCTGTCAAGAACCTTGGTGTGCAGCCAACAGGAACACATTACTCCATGCACTGATGCCGCAGAGTGGATGGATGGCTTTCACATACTTCAGAAATCAAGTGAGCGTTGGACTTAACAACATGGAGTTGTCCCGAAATTCCTCATTGCTATTGGATTCCCACCCCACCACGGGGCTGTGTATCAGAGTGGCTTTCAAATTCCCATCTCTAAAATTAGACCTGCCAGGGAAAATTGCTTGTGCCGGGCAGCTGCTGTCCTCCGGAGCCATTCGTGCCCTGCGAGGAAGCCAGCCTCTGCCAGGAGCAGCCGTCTCCTGCCCGTGTGCAGGAGATCTGGGATGCTGAGCCCAGTCCCTGGTCTGGGGCGGCCGCTGCCGCTTGCCCACCTCCAAGGCGTCCCCCCCTTGCCCTGACCTGAGTCAGCACTTGGTCTCTGTCCCTGTGTGACCTGAAAATCTGGGGAAGAAAGGGAGTAGGAGGTGAAAACAGGGGCTCGGAAGGACACTGCCTCTACCAAGTCTTTGGGTTGGAAATCGGACCGATCCCAGCTGTCGAGCCCGGGCCTGAGAGTCTTGGGTTTCTGGAACCTTCCTGAATCTCTGGAAGACCCAGAGCTAGGGTGGTTCTTTGTGCTGCCCTGGTGGCCCGTCCTTCCTTCTTACACACAGGAAGCTCCTCCTGCTAACTTCCCGGGTCAGCTTCCTCTCCTGCAGCGTGGGATGGTAACACTCAGCTTGCACAGCTGCTGGGAGGATTGTGTGAAATGGCGCTTGGAAAGCACTTGGCTTGGATTCCTGCCCCCACCCCCAGCCCTGCAGGGACCACCGGGACTCTTCCTAGCTCTGTTTCCTTCTCTCGCAAGGCCACACGTTTTCAAAATTTGCTGCCTGCAATGTGTAGCTCTTGGTGGGGACCCGAGGGCCTATTCAGGCAGCTGTGAGTGAGCCCCCTGCCCCCACTAGGTGCGCAGGGCGCGTGCTGCTGCCTGGGTCTGCACCCTCAGTGGGACGCGCAAGCCCCCTGTAACTCAGTGCCTGGCACAATGCCAGACACCCTCCCCTCTGGCTCGGTGACTGAGTGGGACAGAGGGAAGGCAGGGGATGAGAAAACCTGAGATGTGTTTACAGCAAAATGCATAGCTCTAGCCTTTCCTGGCGGGGAGCCACTGGAGAGTCCCCCTGATGTGTCATCGGGAGCCCAGGTGTTTTTGCGAAAGAACCTCTAAATCATAATTACAGAAGCTTTTATCAATAGCTTTTGTTTTGCGAAGGTTCATCTGCAACTACTCTCCCACACAAACTAGAATTTTTTAAAGATCTATTTATTTATTTATTTATTTGACAGAATGAAAGAGAGGGAGGGAGGAAGGGAGGGAGAGAGAGAAAGAGGAGAGAGGGGGGGAGGGGGAGAGGAGAGGGGAGAGGGGAGAGGGGAGAGGGAGAAATCTTCCATCTGCTGGTTCACTCCCTAAATGGCCGCAATGACCAGGGCTGGGCCAGGCTGAAGCCAGGGGCCAGGAATTCCATGCAGGTCTCCTGCATGGGTGACAGGGGCCCAAGCACATGGGTCATCTTCTGCTGCTTTCCCAGGCAGGTTGGCAGAGAGCTGGATCGTGAGTGGAGCAGCCGGGAGTCGCCGGGACTCTGATGGGGGACGCCCGTGTCACAGTGATGGCTTAATCTGCCCTGTATTTATGAACTCCAACTCTTTATTTACTTTTTTTACATTATAAGAATTAGAAACATTCTCACCACTACCACCGAGACCACCCTACTGAAGGGATTTGCTATGGCCCAGCGGGGACAGTGGAAGCTAAAAAGAAGCCTGGGTCCTCACATCCTCCAGCTTCCCAGCGCTGTCGCCCTGGGTTCACCCCGTGAGCCCCCGTGTCTCAGCGTCAGAGCTGGCAGGAGAACAGGCCAGGGAGCTGGTGACCGTGAGCAAGGTCTGGGTGGGTGCGAGGTTCTGTTTTTGCTGGTAGGCTAAGGAACAAGACTGGGCGATCCAGCACTCAGGACTTTGGTGAACGCTGTTTTCTGGCACTCTTAAAAACCGAGTCTTCCTTTGCTTCTTTCTGGGTTTTCACAATGAAAAATAGTGGGAGGCAGAGGCGGGAGCCCCTTTACACACCGCATGTGAGCCATCCAGGTACAGCGCACAGTTGAAATCTCACCTCCCTCAACAGCTGCAGAGCAGGGCAGGGCAGGGCAGGTGCAGACCTGTGTGCAGGTTCTTTGACGCAACTGCAGGGAGCCAGACCCGCCCCGTGCAGCTCCCAGCCTCCCGTCTGTCCCACCAGAACCCTCAGAGGACTTTTGGCTTTGAGTCGTCCTGAGCTTGGAGCTCTGCCACCCTGAGCCTGGCCAGCCCTAGAGAGGGCCTTGGCGCCACCTGGGTGCTGTTTCCCCGAGTGTGAGGCGTGCAGCCAGCACCACAGACAGAGGCCAGCAGAGCCAGCTCGCTCCTCCAAACCTGGGGCCTCCGGCAGCGTCCAGCAGGACACAGAGCCCCTTCTCTTGGAGGCAGCCCACTGCGATCGCTGGGTCCCCTTCCCCCCTCACACCACCTGCGCAGGGAAGGCAGGGCCGTCTCGTCCACACACGGTGAAGGCAGTGGAAAGGTATGGGATGACGCGTTCGGATCCTGGCTCTGCCGCTCATGGCCGCATGGCCCTCACCTGGCTAAACCTCAGTTTTCTCATGTGTTACATGGAGGCAGGGGACGGACCAAACTGGGTTGTGATGAGGATGTGGATAGTCGTGCAAGTGATACGTTTAGGGGAGGGGAGAACAGGTGTGGGAATCCGGTGATCAAACTGTGAGCTGCGGGTCTTTCTCTGCCCCCGGCTTCTGGGTGCTGACCCAGCCCCAGCCCCAGCCGGAGCAGGTCCCCTGCAGGCAGGTTTCTCCCTGCATGCAGACAGCAAGCAGGTAGCATGCAGGAGGCAGGCACACAAAGCTCCAAGGGGGACTTGCTGTGTGGAGTGAGTGAGACCGGCTGGCGGGGTGTGATGTCCAGGCCTCCCGCAGGGCACACGGAAGGCCCAGCCCACTTCTGCCATGTTGTCAGTTACTGACTTTTTATATCTTCTTTGTTTCTTTCTGTTTCTCCCTCATCTTTGTGCTTTGGCAACCTTCTGTCACCTTAAGTCTTGATTCTCTTTCTCTGTGGCAGTGAATGTCGTGTTCTTGTCTATATTCATGATGGCTGTTGTGATTATAACTTCATTCTTCTTTAAAAAGATTTAATATTCGAAAGGCAGAGTTAGAGAGGGACAGAGAGAGAGAGAGAGAGAGAGAGAGAGAGAGGTCTTCCATCTGCTGGTTCACTCCCCAGGTGGCCACAATGGATGGAGCTGGGCCAATCTGAAACCAGGAGCCAGGAGCTTCTTCCAGGTCTCCCACACGGATGCAGGGGCCCAAGGACTTGGGCCATCTCCTACTGCTTTCCCAGGTGCATTAGAGGGAGCTGGATCGGAAGTGGAGCAGTTGGGACTGGAACTGGTGCCCATATGGGATGCTGGCGTTGCAGGTGGAGGCTTAACCTTATACACCTGTGTACCGGGCCCAAAACTTTATTTCATGCTCTCTCCTCAAGGATAGCTTTTCTGGGCATTCTTGGTTGTCAGTTTTTCTTTCAAGACCTGCAACATCATCCTGGGTGTGTACCAGTCTGATTGGTTTTCTGTTATGTGTATCTGGATGCTTTTGTCCCGCTTTCTGTAGTAGCCTCTCTCTGTCTGGCTTCTGATAGTTTGACCGGAGGTGGGAGGTGGTCTTTTTGGACTGAATCTGGTCGTGGTCCCTTGGGCTTCCTAGATCCAGATGTTTCGTGTCTCTCATGACCTGGGAAGTTTCTGGCTATCATTACATAGCCTAGGTTTTCAAAGCCTTCTTCCTTTCTTCTCCTTCAGATATTCCAGTAATGTAAATATCTGTTCACTTATGGTGTCCCATGTGTCTCATAGCTGTCTTCATTATTTTTAATTTTCTTTATTTTCATCTGACTGGGCATTTCGGCTGGGTCTATTCGTTGTTGAAGCTCTTGACTGCAGTTTTTATTTCAGCGATTGCAGTTCTCATCTCCAGAATTTCTGTTTGCTTTTTTACAAATTTCAATGTCTTGGGGCCAGTGTTGTGGCGCAGCAGATTAACACCCTGGCCTGAAGCGCTGGTATCCCATATGGGCGCCGGTTCTAGTCCCAGCTGCTCCACTTCTGATCCAGCTCTCTGCTATGGCCTGGGATAGCAGTAGAAGATGGCCCAAGTCCTTGGGCCCCTGAACCCGCGTGGGAGACCCAGAAGAAGATTCTGGCTCCTGGCTTCAGATTGGCACAGCTCAGGTCATTGCGGCCATCTGGGGAGTGAACCAGCAGATGGAAGACCTCTCTCTCTGTCTCTACCTCTCTCTGTAACTCTGACTTTCAAATAAATAAATCTTTTTAAAAAAATTCCAATCTCTCTGTTGACTTCCTCATTCCTGTCTTGCATTGTTTTCCCCATTTCTTTGAATTGCCTGTTTGTATCATCTGACGTCTCACTGAGGTTCCTTCGGGGCTCTTCTGCCAGATGTCACAGATCCCCTTCAACTCGGGCTCTGTTTCTGGAGCACTGTTGTTTTCTTCTGGGAGTGCCACGCATACTTGCCTCTTTGTGTTTCTTGTGTCTATGTTGGTGTCTGAACAACTGGCGTAATCACTGCTTCTTTATGGAGTAACTTTCTTTAGAAAAGACTTCTCATAGACATGGATGTGGGTTGTCAGTTGGGTAGCTGCTCTGGCTTTGGTTCCAGATGGAAGCACACATTTAGCCTCCCTGGGATTGCTTCAGCTGTAGTCAGCAGCGGTGTCTGTGGTACTGCGATGCTATGCATGGTAGCAGTTTATAGAGTGTGACTTTTCAGTGGACACAGGGTTCAAAGGTGCATGTCCTCCAGCCCCAGAGTTAAGTGCCAGCCACTGTGGAGTGTGCAGTGGCAGTGGCCATGGTCTAGGTGCTGCAGGACACAGAAGGGACCATGCCCAAGTGCACAGGTGATGCCAGGGCTTGTGACACTGATCGCCATGGCCTTGGAGCTGTGGGATGTGGATGGGACCCTCTCCAGGTTTTTGATGCACAAGTGTAGGTGACACCAGGACTTGTAGCACCAACAGCTGCAGTCCCAGCACTGGGGGATGTGATGGGGCCCTCACCCAAGCCCCACTGAGTGAGTGTTTTATTCCAATCATTATGCATTGGTGTTCATGGAACTAGACCTGTGGAATTCAGGTCTCATGGGGGTAAATGTGGGTGACTCTGGGGAATTTAGTACTGAGGGTCATAGTCCCAGCACTGCAGGATGGTGAGAATCTTGCCCAGATCTCACAGGACAAACACAGATTATGCTGGGTATTGGCACTGGCTGCTGTAGGGTTTGAGCTGTGGGACTTGGAACCTTCCTTTGGCTCAATGGGACAAGTGGGGATAACTCCAGGGATTGAAGCACTACCAGCCACTGTCCCAGAGCTGCCACCTGCAGGAGGGGCCACCCCAGGTCCCAAGGGCAAGCAAGGGTGATGCAGGCCTTGTGCTCTGGCCACCAAGAGCCCTGAGCCACGAGACCTGGAGGAGAAGAAGTCAGACCCAAGCCCTCTCCCTGACCTCTCCTCCTTTCCGCTTCAGATCTGGTTCTACACGAACAGCATCTTTGGGGCAGCTGGGATCCCTGCAGAGAAGATCCCGTACGTCACCTTGAGCACGGGCGGCATCGAGACCCTGGCTGCCATCTTCTCTGTAAGTCCGCTGAGGGCGACTCCCAGGAAGCTGGGGGTCAGACAGCACCGTGGGGAGCCCCAGCACCTCACAGGAACACACTCCTTGTCCCCAGAGGGGTCTGGCGCCTGCCCCTCTGGAGAAGGTGCCTTTCCACGCTTTGCTGCTGCTCCCTCCCTTGCGCCCCGCCCATCACAGAGGCCAGACAAGGAATCCCCAGGGGAAAGGGCCACGTCGTCCCCAGGACCTCAGAGTCCCTGTGACTCCCTGATCTCTCAGAACCGTGAGCTGTCATCTCTGCACCCCCAAGCACGCATGTGTTTGCAAGGCAAAGAGGAGGAGAAGGGGCCTTCCAGTCGGTCAGAGAGCGGAGCGACTTTGATAGAGACATGTAGAGCTCATCACTCCTGCTCAACATCTGGGGGCAGGGGAGAAGCTGGGAGACTCCCGAGGCAGTCACTGGTGTCCTAGTGATGTAGACAGACATGGAGGATAAAATTGATTAGGTGTGTGAGCTGGAAGACCACGCCTTCACCACGCCAGGTTTCAGAGTGAGACCAGATTGGACGTGGGCTGGGCTGTGTGAGGCTCAGCAGTTCACTCTGCTTCTCTGAGCTTTGCTTTCCCTCTTCCTGCAAGGGCTGTGTCTGCCCTGCCTTGCAGGTGTGTGGTCTGCGCTCACGTGGTGCAGCGGGGTTCTTGTCCAAAGGCACGGAGGTGGGGGGTGCCTCCCATCAGAGTGCTGGATCTGATTTGGATGGAGCAGCTCCCTCAGCCACACACCCAGACAGAAGGGATTAATGCTGGTGCACAGCCCAGAGGCTCCCCAGGACACGCTCGACAGAATGCTTGATTTTGCTCCTGTACCTTGATGGGTCATTCCAACAGGATGCTCTTTAAAAACAAGGCACAAAGCAGAGGGGTGGCCTCTGGGCTCCTTCCTTTTCACCTCATGGCCTCTTTGCTAGAGGAGACGAGTTCTGTGTTTCACAGTCTGGGGGTTTCACAAAGTCCCCGTCTCGAGTTAGAAACTGCTCCCAGCTCTTATTATTTTTCACTTTGATCAGTGGAAAAGCCACAGGCAGTCTGGGATGAAAATGATGAGGGGAAGTGCAGGGTTTCGTTTTCTGTTAAAGACTCTCGCTGGAAAAAAAATCACCTGCTCGTTAGGGTAAATTTGTAAAATGCAGGAAAATAGGAACAAAGGAGAAATGGCCCGCAGCCACCCTCTCCCAGGGAACTTGGCACACCCGCTCCTGTCTGTGTTCCGGGGTAGACGTGGGTTTGGAGCTCACACAGTGGTGGTCCTACCCTGTGTATCACACAGTCTTATGTCAGAATGTTTTTCCCATTTGTTGTCTGAATGATAAGCCGAAACAGAGAAACACTGACAGACAGCAAGAGTGCTCCCACACTCTGGTTTATTTTCCCAAATGCCAGGGAGCCAAGAACTCAGTCCACTTCTCCCACAGGGGTGGCAGGGACCCACCTTGCGCCATCACCTGCTGCCTTCCGGGGTGCACCGGAAGCTGGGATTTGGAGGAGAGCAGAGCCGGGACTGGGATCCAAGCCCTCCAAATGGGGTGTGAGCACCCAGCCAGTGTCGTAAGCACTGCCCCAGCACCTGCCCCTGAAAAATTTTTACTGATGCATGCCTCATACGGGCACTGCAAAAAATTTGTGGGGAAAAATGGAATTCAATGATAAGTTTATTTCCATGGACAAAAACCTTGGAAATTCATGCAATGTCTTCTGCACGTGTTCCATGAACATTACAGAAGTCGCTCGCACGTATGAAATGTGTGTAGCTCACCGCCTACTCGCGAACACTGATACTGAAAACTGTCAGTGACCAAAAATTAGGGGCCTGGAGGTTTCCTTAGCCCCTGTCTGGGGCATGGGGCTTGGGAGTCTCTCTGCTCAGAACCTGGGTGACAGAGCTGTAGGCCTGGACCCTGATCCTAGCTCTGGTCCTTTTGAGCCACATGACACCAAATGAGTCATTCAACAGCTCTGTGACTCAGTTTCCCCAAATGACTGCAACAGCCAGGGCTGGGCCAAGCCAAAGCCAGGAGCCCAGAACTCCATCTGGGTCTCCCACATGGATGACAGGGACCCAAGCCCTTGGGCCATCTTCTGCTGCTTTCTCAGATGCATTGGCAGGGAGCTGGATTGGAAGTGGAGCAGTCAGGACTTGAACCAGCACCCATATCAGATACTGGGGTCGCAGGCAGTGGCTTAACTCACTGTGCCACAGCGCTGATCCCAGTCTCCCCATTTCTGTGAGGACACTGTCCTGCCTCATAGGGCCGGGCTGAGATTAAGCAGAAGAGGGGACGCTGAGAGGTTCAGGCAGAGCCCTGATGTGCACTCAGGGTGTCAGCTCCTCTTGTCTGGCTCAGGCAGCTCCCCAAGCTGCCCTGGTGAACCGGGCTGTGCTGACCCCCAAGCAGAGAGCAGGGTCCCCTGGGACGCTTGCCGAGCATCCAAGACCAGACCAAGTGACTCCTGTGGGGCCACACAGCCGGTTGGGACTGAGCTGGGAGGTGGGCAGCCCCCTGCCCCAGGACCCTGAAGAGCACACCCACCTCACTCCTGAAGTGCAGTAGCTGCCCCGTCTGAGCGAGGAGCAAGCCCAGCCGGGGATGTGCTGCCCCCGTCTCGGTCTCCATGGCTCCAGAAACCACCGCTTGCGACCTCCACTCTCTGGCTGGCACATCAGCTTCGTTCAAAGCCAGCAGTACTTGGTGAAGGTTACCTGGGAAGTGCTGGTTCCAGAAAAGAGGATACGTGATGGTGGCTTCCTGGAAGAGGAAGAGGCGACCTCACCAAACCCAGGACCTGGGGACACGGCCTCTGCTCAGTGCTCCTGCTGCCGCCTTCCGGAGTGGCCCATGGTGGAGCTAGGTCGTGTGGCCCATGGTCGGGCAGTGTGGTGCTCTCCGGTGAGCTCTCACCAGCTGCTCCTGACGCCGCCTGTTGAGCCTGCGCTGGGCTCACAGAAGGCTGTTCCCATGATGCCTGCCTGCAGGAGCACAGTCTGATAGAGGAGGCTGTGACCATGGCTGAACTCTGGCTGTGTCCTAGAGCCCCATGATGCCCTGTGGTGGGGGGAGGGTGATGCTCCATGGGGCCGCCACTTGCTCCTGGCTCATCCATCCACAGACACCCAAGGAGACCTCTATGGCGCTATAGGCCACTGTGACGTTGTGATGACCTCCAGAGGAAACCAGACGCAGACACAGTTAGCATGTGTTGTACTGAGACGAGCTCTCCTGTCCAGGGCTCTCAGAGGGCCTCCTGGAAGAGGACACTAGGAAGCCAAGAACTACAGGGCCAGCAGGAGTTAGCTCAGCAGAGGAGACGTCCACTGGGCCGTGGGCCGGAAGCTTATGCTGGTTCACTTTAGGTCTGGGCAACTTGTAATTCAAATCCTCACAGCCAGGGTTTACCACCAGATACCAGCCAAATCAATCTCTGGGTTTATTTGCTCATCTGTGAAGTGGACTTCACCATGCTCACCTGTGGTGTGCAAAACACTGGACATCGCTGAGACGTCCACAGGAGCTGTGGTTGCGTCAGGTTGCGTGGCAGAAAGGGACTTTGCAGGTGTGGGTGTGCCAAGGAGCTTGAGACCAGGAGGTCTGGGTGGGCTCAGGGTCTCCCCAGGGTCTTCATAAGTGAAGGAGGAAGGCAGGAGAGTCAGAGAGGGGAGGTGATGGCAGAAGCAGGAGCAGGGGTGATGCAGTTGCTGGCTTCGAGGATGAAGAAGGAGCCACCGGCCAAGGAAGCTGAGCAAAGCAGGGAACACACCGCGCAGGCTCTGGGAGGAAGCTGCCCTGCTGATCCTCTGATGTGCGCCCGAGATCTGCTTGTCTTAGGAACCAGACTCAGACACGTGAGCACCCTGGTCTGAAAATCTGAAACCTGGAAAGCTCCAACTTCGAAAACTCTGTGGGCAGTCCAAGCAGAGAATCCCACACCTGACATCCACACCTGATGTGTCAGTCAAAACGCAGGGTCAATGTGAGCTGAAGATGGTGCAGAAAACCCCCTTCAGGCTGTGTGCTTCTGATGGACGGGAAACAGGAGTGAATTTCATGATTAGATTCAGGTCCCATCCCCAGAACATCTCATATGCAAAAGCTGGAAAATACACCAAATCTAAAACACATCTGGCCCAGGTGTTCCAGATACAGGTGCCTGATCTGTTGTGGACGACACTGTGGTGCTGTCCCAGCGACAGGAAGCTAACAGGATGCTCACTGACACCCCAGAGGTTGCAGCGGCTGTGCCTTCCTCCCGGAAGGAGCCAGGTCCCTGGCCCGGCCCCATTTCCATGAGCAGAGTTTCCAGATGCATCTTCTGTACTGCTTTGTCCAAGCCTGGAAGGCAGTTGCCTATCCCAGAGGACTTCTAAGTTCTTGCTGAGATGTTGGCAGTCGATTAAAATGACTCTGGAGCATAGTAACGTTGAGAAGGACCAGGCGTTTTTGTTCATTCGGCCTACAATTAATTTGAACTCCAACTGTCCCTCATCAGTGATCAATAATTGCCAGCTTGCAAGAACACCTGGTTTTCCAAATGGATTTTCTTGACAGCATTGACTTTCTACTGAGTGAGCGTTTTTATAAAGATTTGTTATCTATTTGAAAGCGAGAGAGAGGAGAGGAGAGAGGGGAGAGGGGAGAGAGAGGCATCAGACTGAAACATCCTGTGTGGCAGGAGCTTCCTGGGGGACCTCTCCATCCCCCCAGTGTGAGAGTCAGGGCACAGCCATGTGGGGACCTGGGTGCTGGCCCGTATCTGCTGCCAGATCTCACCTTGGTGTTCACATTCCTGCTGTAGATTTCCAGCTGTTTCCACCACTGTGCCTGTGCTACTGGGGGCACCCTGCTAGGGTTATTTTTCAATAACCTTTTAAGTGTGTGTGTGTGTGTGTGTGTGTGTGTGTGTGTTAGCCTCTTGTTATTGTAAGTAAGTTCCTGAGCAGGCTACCTTATTAAATAAAACAAGAGTATTGTTTGGGCTCACAATTCAGGAGGTGCAAGGTTGTGGGGGCCCCCTCCGTGGCGGTCTTCTGGCTGGCAGAGTCTGGAGGTGGCACGGGGCATCCCGTGGTGAGAGACAGGGAGCCCACGGTCTCCATGGCTGTGTATTAGCTCCCCCTCCTCAGGAAGTCCCCCGGATTCAGTCATGGGACTCTGCCCTGCTGTGTCGTCACTTCCCAGAGAGCCCACTTCTGAACGGCATGGTCGGATTGGGGGTGGTGTATGGCGCAGCACCTGCCTCCCACATCAGAGTGTCTGGGTTCAGGCCCTGGCTCTGCTCCCAATTCCGGCTTCCTGCAATGCGCACGCTGGGCGGCAGCTGAGTTGGCTCAAGTGCTTGGGTCCTGGCCACCCACGTGGGAGACCTGCACTGAGTTCTGGGCTCCTATCTTCAGGCTGGTCCAGACCAGGCTGTTGCAAGCACTGGGGGTGTGAATTAGCAGATGGGAGATCTCTCTCTTTCACTGGCTTTCTGCCTTTCAAATAAAATGAAAATGTGTGAGGATGCTAAGCCCTGTACCCTAAGCCACAGGCTTCATTCTTCCTCTGGCACCCGTACCCTGACTGGTAAGGTATCAGAACCGTGTAAACTGTATCTTTGCTGCAATCCCAGGACCTTTAGCCAATCTTGTGGCTAACAGGGTGAGGCCCAGCCCAAGTTAAACCTGCACTAGAAGTGAAGACTGCCCATAACTGGAATCGGTGGGATTTGTATTTCGGGGGAGTCGGGTCAGAGTAGGCAGTGGCATGGTGCTGAGATGCCTACAGAAATAACCAGGATGAGTGCTGCCGCAGTCACCCCGCGATCAGTACGTTGGGCTGTCACACAGATTAATACGTATTACGTCGTCACACCAAGAGCAACCTATGTTCAACTTACGCTGAGGTTAACGCCCGCTGTGCTGAAATGCACTGATGCCGCCTACTGACTGCAGGGTCTTGAGAGCTGATTTTTTTTAAAGTGTCTCCAAGTGCACCACCCACAATTTCAGTGCTGGAGAGTGTGCCCTAAACACACACCAGCTGAGGGCCATTATCTGACACCGTGAGTTGCCGGGATTTCGGGTGCCCTGGGTGAGGTGCGGATCCAGCTGGTTTTCATCCCCCTGAGGTCTGTGGGTGACAGGAACCGGAAGCTGGTGTAGCTGGAAGCAGCACCTGATCTACAGACGATCTCTTAAGCTTAGTCCAGGGAGACCCCGAGGAAGCAGCCTGGAAAGAGAGAGGAGGGTGGAAATGCTTGCTCGGGTCGGGAAACTGACCAGGCTGCAGCCTCCCTCCTCCCTCCCTCCCTCCACTCCAGGGGCACCTGTAGCAAGCGCTCAGAGTGAATGTGGCCCTTCACCTGGCGGTGACATTATTAGTGCAGACGTTGGCTCAGGGTGAACAGCAGGCACTGAAGGTTACTGGTGCCAGCTGGGCACTGATGGTTCTCCTTGTTATGCTCTCAGGGGACGCCTGAGCCACAGGGTCACTCATCCGGGGAGCGGCCATCCACCCGGTGGCCCACTGCCTCTCCCTCCGCAGGGGACACCTGGTGGGATGGTATTTATTGATAAGCTTTTTTGTTCTGGATAGGAGTTTGGAAACCACTTTCACTGAGACCTGGTTTTCTCTGAATGAACTGTGCTCATCTTAATGGGGCCGTTCGGTATGTGTGACAGATTTATGTAGCAGATCAGCACAGCTGTAATCAGGATAGCATTTCTGTCACTCCAAAAAAATGTCCTTGTGTCCCTTCCCCCCTGCCCCACTTCCTTTCCCCCCAGAACGGCCAGCTCTGTGTGGCCTTGGACAAATCCCGTAGTCACACAGGCCTCTGATCTTGACCTCCCATCACCTCCCCAGGGGTCCCCTTGCCACTGGAGTCCAGCTGCCCTGTCCATGGTGCCCTGGCCCTGGCTGCTGCATCCGAGCTCACCCGGTGGGACCCGGCTCATCGCATGCTCGCTTGCTCGCTTGCTCTCGCTCTCTCCACCAGCTGCTGGTTTTTTCTTCCTCCCTGCCTTGCCCTGGGCTGCACTTCCCTCCCGGCTTCTCGCTGTGTGATGCTGTGTCCCTTTGCCCCTTCGGTCCTCGCCATTTTGCTCTGCCACGGGTGAGCCTCGCATCTGCCTTGCAAAGGTGGACCCTCACTCTGTCAGCAAACGCTGGCCCCGTGTCTGCCAGGCATTCGCCAGCTGCTGGGGGACCAAGGATGGAGGCCCCTGGTCTTCAAGTGAGGAGAGCGGGCGGGGGATCAGGGTAATCAGGAGTCAGATGTCCAGGTGGGACAGTGAGCTCCTACGAGGTGGCGGCTCTGCCCATGTCCAGCTTGGAGATGTTAATGTCTCAAGGAAGACCTCACTGCACCCTGCAAAGCTGGTGCTATCAGTCCCATTCCAGGTGGGGAGCCGGGGGCCTGGAGAAGCTGAGTCACCTGTCCTGGGTGCCATGCAGCCTGCGTGGCAGAGCCGGGGCTGGGGCCAGTCCCCGCGCCCCTGTGCTCATTGTGTGTCTCTGCCTGCTGTCGCCTCCTCCCAGAAGTCTCACCTGATTGCCCAGTTGAGGAAATCCATGGACTGTGCTGCAGAAGCCCTGAGTTCAGTTCCTGGCTCCCTCTCCCTTGCTTGCTGTGTGATGTCTGCTGAGTTACTTCACCTCTCTGGTCCTCAGTGTCCTATCTTTGTAAAGTGGTGGGGGAGGCACCAGGCAGAATCAGATTTCCAGGGGTGTGTGTGTGTGTGTGTGTGTGTGTGTGGTGTGCAGCCTCTGAGCTAACCAGCCACCCACTCTGGGGTGTCCTCTAGCATATTCTGATTCTCTTGTCACAGACAAAGGCCCTGGGGCTTTGGGAAGTGGAACCCAAGGCAAGTTCATGCCCCTGCCAAGTGAGAGATGCTGACACTCAGCCCCAAGCACCATTGTCCTGGGTGTTCAGCCTTGTGAGGAGTTCAGTGAAGGGCCCTTGCCCAACCGAGGGTGGACACAGGGACCGACCAGATGAGGTCAGCGTCAGTTGGAAGACACTGCTTCAGGGGCTGCATCAAGTAGGTCTCCTGGCATCGCATATCCTAGCATGAAGCTGACCCTCCGGAGAAAGTACAGAACCTTTCTCTATCCCCTCCTGCCCGAGCTGCCCGGGGCGCCTGCCCCCGTGAAATCCAGGACATGGAGGTGCAGCAGAATTGCCTTCATGGCCGGCTGGCTTTGCAGGAGGGGACAAGGCTGTGGCGACCACATGCTTCCGGCTCCTCCTTCCAGAGCCCCCAGTGGAGGAGCCCACCCTTCCAAGGAAGATGGGGAGGAAAGGTGGATGCATGGCACACAGCAGGTGCCCGAGAAGGATCCTTCCCCCGGCCCTCTTTCCCACAACGATGGTTGCTTTTCTGACTGTGGCCTTGGAGAGAGTGGCTGGGCTGTCTCAGGGTCAAAATCACAAAACCCCTCTTGAGCCGTGACCCCCATTGCTGTTCCTCTTTGCTCATTGCTAGAATAACAAGCGTATTTTCTCTCTCTCACCCTCTCTCGCCCCCTGCACTAGGGCTTGGTCATTGAGCGCCTGGGACGGAGACCCCTGCTCATCGGTGGCTTCGGGCTCATGGCCCTCTTCTTTGGGACCCTCACCATCGCACTGACGCTGCAGGTGAGGGCCAGGCCTGTCACACCCTGCGCAAGGTGGACCCGTGCTGGTTCCGGCTCCGTCACTCCAGGGCCTTTGGTGCATGGGGTTTGTCCCATCCACAAGTGGCATTAGAAGTGCGGCTCTCCCAAAGGGGTCTCACTTGGAGCTGAGAGGAGAGGTGGTTTGATGATGGGTTTGCCTCGATTCCCCTAAGATCCTCCCACACCCAGTGCTGAGCCAGCCCGCTGCAGGCAGGGGACCGTCTCCCCCTGCGGACACACCTCATGCAGTGGGTCAGCCCCCGTCACGCCTTGTGGAGTGGCAGGGGACCAAACACACTATGCTTTACACAATGACAACATGCACAGTGCCTGTAAGAGCTCATCGCACCTGCTTCAGACCAAACTGTCCATCAATGTGGGTTCTGCTTCCCCGTGGGGACCCCTTCCCCCTGCCAGGGCCACACTGAGCCCTGCTCTGCTGTGACCCTGCATCTCCCATGCATGAAGTGAGCAGGTGCAATGGCCAGGCTCTTAGAGAGGTTACTATTCCCCCACGTTCTGGGAAACCAACCCTGAACCGGAGACAGGAAGTGGCCTGTGCAAGGTCACACAGACAGGCAGACAAGGTGCTGGGCGGGGAGCCAGGCCCTCAGGACGCCTGCTCCCTCCTCACCTGCCCACCCCTGTGCTGTTCTCTTGCAGGACCGCGCCCCCTGGGTCCCTTACCTGAGCATTGTGTGTGTCCTGGCCGTCATCGCTTCCTTCTGCAGTGGGCCAGGTAAGGCGCCGTCTTCCTCCCTGCGCTGCCAGGGTGCGGTCATTGGGAAAGTCCTGTCCTCTTCTTGGGACTCAGTCTGCAGACTGGCGAGGGTGGCATAGATCGAAGGCCCTGCTGTTCCCAGGGCCCGTGTCTGCGTCCAGCAGGGGCCGAGCTGGGGCTGAGGAGCCGGGTTCAGGGCAGGCTCTGGCATGGCCCAGTGCCCTCTCCGTGGGGGGATGATTGTGGCTGATTCGGGTTGGGTGTCTGTGGTGATGAAAGCAGCAGGAAGCTTCTATCAGAACAAGTGGAGCAAGCCTGTCTGATGTTCATGGGCCAGCAGATTCCAGCTTCCAGCATGTTTGAGGGGCTGGAAAGTGAGTGTCCCCCTGTGACCTCAGAGTGTACGGTGCGATGCAGGTTGGGCCATGGGAGGGTAGGGGACGGCATCGGGTGCATCCTGCGGGGAAGATGGGCAGAACAGCACGGGGGGGGGGGGGATGAAGGTGCCAGCAGCAAGGCTGCATATTAGCAGGAAGAGGAGCCAAGGGCACCCACCGTGGCTGGCTGTGGGTTCTGAGAGTCAGTGTGCTTGGTCCCACAAGGTGCCCACATCGCCAGCTCCAGGGGAAGCAGTCACATCAGTGCCTTTGTGATGTCACCCAGTGTGGCCCTGTGCTACCCTGGGGACCAGTTAGCATGGCAACAGGGACATTCCAGAATGCAGCTATATGCTGGCAGAGCGTCAGAGAGGGTGACCTGCTCAGAGAGGCCTTAATCTAAAGCAGGTGCACACACACACACGTGCTCCCCTCATCGTCCTGTTCACTTCTTTTCGCTGGCTGGTCTGTTCCCTGCATAGCTGTGTGCCTTTGCTGTAAGGGACAGGCAGCAAACACCCCCACCTTACAGCACGTGCAGTGTGGGTCGCAGCTCGCCACCTCTGTGTGGTGCTGGGAATGTGAGCGAATGGGAGGTGTGGCTGTGTTTCAGTAAAGCTTCATTTACAAAAGCAGGCAGGGGGCTGCTGGGGCCCCCTCTCCTCTCTCCCTCCCTCCTTCTCTCTCCATTGAATTTTTTTAATTAAATATAAATGGCCTCCTAACTTTTAACCGAATCTCCCAACTCCAACAGTTCCAAAACCACTGGCTAGGAAAAGTCATCCTTAAGCAGCCATGTATCAGTCAGTGACCTTCTGGCTGCCTAACAAATATACCTCCAAAAGTCAGAGGAAATTCACTTCCCCCAGGTACCCAACCATGGCTGGTGACCCTGGTAGCTGGGGCAGGGGCTGTGCCAGCCCCGGGTCTCACCATCAGTCACCTCCGATGGGCAGAAGAGGGAAGGAGTGTGGAGAGAGCGGCATAAGAGCCTCGACCCAGGTAACGCCTCTCTCCCACTCCTGCTGTGACGCTGTGACAGGTGAGACGGCCAGGCTGGACACAGGCCTGAGCTTTGCACACCAGTCTCCCCAAGAGTCCAGCACTGCCCAAGGTCTGGAAGGTTCCCAGCAGGATTCATGGATGATTTGATCATGATCAGGGGCCTTAGAAGTATGGGGCAGGTGCTGTCAGAGACAGAGCTCCAAGGTGTGCAGAGAGATGGTGCAGAACCCCAGAGTGATTTGTGAAACCCAGAGGCGGTGGCTTGGGGCTGCCCCGGCCCCATCCTGCTGTTTGCCAGTGCTTGCCACACTCACTCAGTCTCTGCTCACAGCAGCATCTGGCAGGAACCTGCCTTCACATCTCCCAGATGTGGATACTCAGCTGGACGTTACATACTTGGTCCTACTCTCAGAACAGTCTCGTACATTGGGATGAACCATGGCCATCTTCCAGACAGGAATCTGAAGCCAGAGACGTGATGAGACATGAAGCAGCTGGTGGAGGGTGGCATCGGGATTTGAACCCAGGTCCTTAAGACCATGCTCGGATTCACATCACTGCAGCACTCTGAGCTCGCCACAGCACATTCACACCTCTCCGTGTTACTCTGTTTTCTGGGCAGCCCGTGAAGATGAAGAGGTGACTCCATTCATGCCTCGGGTGTCTGGGAGGTCTCAAGGCGTGCCAGTGCACCTGGGGTACTGAGGGTGGATTGGTGCCTGCAGCACCGCATGGCAGATGGCGTCACGTGGCAGAGAGCATGCCAAGGAGACGGAGAGAGGCAGGGGAGGGACAGCCTTGTTCTTATATGGCCACCTGCTCATATGGGAACTGACCCATCCGGGGCGACCCAACCCAGCCTAAGAGACCAGCAGTGGTCCCTGTGCGAGGGTGATCTGACTCCTTGCTTCTCCTGGGGGCCCCACCTGTTTTTAATACCATGGCGTAGGGGACCAGGCTTTGAGCCCAGCAGCCTCTGGGGACAAACCACATCCAAACCTCACCAGCTCCCTAACCCGATTTCTCGTAATGGCTGGCATTTTTGATCACATACTGGGTGCCCAGTCCTGTTGTTGGCACGTAGCTAGTGCTTGGTGTGAACTCAAGCAGGGCTTCACAGTAAACGGAGGCACAAAGGCAGGGACCACGTCAGAGCCGGGGGGACCTCGGGGACCATTTGAAAATGAAGGAACTCCCCAGGGGCTTGGGATGGACTAGGGCAGCCCCAGCTCAGAAAAGACCATGAAGTTTTCCTCGTCCGGCCACTCAGTGGAAGTTCAGCCTCAAGTATGGTTTCCTCGTGCTTGGTTGCTTCTGTTGATGGGGAGCCCACTGCCTCACAGACGGGGAACTCTGTAGTCCACAGGTCATATCTGGACCACAGCCCGTTTTGTATGAGCAAAGAATGGCTTTTCCATTTTAAAGGTAAAAAAGAAAAGGGGTGGGGGAAGACACTGCTTTTGGCCTAAAAATCCGAATATATCTGCTGTGTGACCTTTACAGAGAGAGTGCAGGGGCTCCGGGGTGACGTAGGAGGAAGGGAAAGGCAGCAAGCTGAGGAGGCAGATGGGGGGATCCCTGGGGAGCAGGAGCAGCCAGGGGCGCAGCCTGAAGGTAACCAGGAGGTAGCATCAAAGGAGCCGCAAGCGACCCCCGAGTGCAGCCTCCCGGGAAGCTGTCAAAGCCCTGGAACCCAGGCTCCACCGCAGGCCACCAGGCCGCCGTCCCCGGGACCAGGGGCACATGCAGCTGCACTCCACACCCTCTCGGCCAGAGCAGTGCTTCAGCCCTGGCTGGGGCGGGACAATCACTGTTCCCCTGGTTTGAGCAATGGCAGCAGTCACTGGACATCCAGGCCCCAGCAGCAAGAGCCAGCGCCCAGGGCACAGGGTGAAGCTGGGCGTGGAGGAGATGAGTGACCGCAGATCCCAGAGGCCATGGGTGTTGAACTAAGGACTTGGGATTTCATCCTGAGCTCCAGAGAGGCCTGGGAGTGCTGGCGCACAGTGGGTGAGGTGGGGGTGATCTTTGAACACGAACTTCACAGGGCAGATTTGCAGCAAAGAGGAGTCAGCTGGGGTAGAGGGTACAAAGCAGAGGCAGAGCCACACTGGCCGGGGTAGTTGGGCAGGGCCGGGCAGCTCTGGGAAGGGTTCTGTGGTCAGGGTAGGTCCCAGGTCAGGAGCCCCTGTGGTGTGGTTCTAGTGCTTCTTGGGTTTCCTCTGTCCCCGGGGAGAGCAGTCAGTACTGAGTCTCAAGGCATAGGCTGACTTGCCTCTGTTTGCACAAATAAACCAGGCTGGACTCGTTCACACCCCTGACCGCAACCTTGAAGCTCCGCCTCCTGTCTTCCCCAGCCCACTCCCTCTCACGTCCACCAGCGGAATTTGCCAGGTGGTTTTCTTATGACAGTGGAGCTGCTGCGTTGCCAGGGCCTTGAATGCCAAGATCCCCGTCAGCAACCAGGGGAGGCACCTGCACCCCCAGTCACGGCACCACTGTCAGCCCTCACCCGACTCTTCCCAGCTGCCTTCCCTGACCCCCGCTGTGTTCACCCAGGAGCTGGGCCTCGCCAACTAGCCACAGCTTTAGCCACAAGGTTGGTCAGGGTTTGGAAGCATCACTTAAGCAGGCAATGCAGGTGCACAGCTGGAGGCTTCGGGACGTCACCTGTGTGAGGGAGCTGTCACCTGAGTTGTGACATCATCTTCATCCTCCAAGTGGCCAGAGAGGAACCAGTCCCTAGAAGAGCCCTATGGAAAGAGGCACGGAGATGGGACGAGAGGAGTGGCTCAGGGGCTCCTCCTCCGGGGCTGTCCTCCATGGAGCCGAGCCGGCAGTCTGCCCGAGGCAGCTTCTGGGGCGAGCACGTGCCTTGGAGCAGACCTGACAGGGAGCTGAGATGAGGCAAAAGGAAAGAGAGAGAACAGGGCAGGCAGCTTCCTGCTGAGATTTTATTTGTGTGCGTGGCCCCAAGGCAGCAGAGGAAGCTCGCAGATGAGACAGGATCACGGAGCTAGGGAGCTCCTTGCCTGCCCGCAGCAGCTCCGGTTAGGAAAGTCTCACCGTGCCCAGGCTGCGGCCCCAGCCCCAGGTCAGGCCCGCGAAGCAGCGCTTGCGTCCAGGAAGGAAGGGCATGTGCCAATGAGATGGACTTGGGGTCACGGCCAGGATTAAGGTGCGGATTTGGCCCGAGGGCCCCGGAAGAGGAGGGAGCAGCGTGTGGGATGCTGTGCCCAGGAGCTACTGAGCACGTGTGGCTCCAGCTCTCCCGTTGATTTCATCCAGAAAGGCTGCCTGCGCCTTCCAGCATCAGGGGTCCTTCCTGGGTTCCTCCGCCTACCCCTTCTCCCCGTCCCCGCACACTCTCTCTAAGCTCCCATCGGCTCTTCCTGGCTGCGTCCACCTCCTGTTGGCTGCGTGTGCAGCTCCAGCGTCTCCCTCCCTGACCACGCAGCCTCTGCCCTGTATCTGCTCTGTCTTTAGATCTCTCTCCTTAGAAGGATGCCGCTTTGGGGCCATAATTCATCATGGCTGCCTCTTAGCCTGCCACGGGTGCCAGGAGTTAGGACTTCCCTGTAGCCCTGGGGGACGCGGGTCACCACCACAGGAGGAAGCTTTAAAACCACCATGCAA